TAATATTTGAATGAATTTATTTCCAGAAATAAACCATCAATGAATGTACCACATTATGTAAACCAACAAGCAAGAACCCACCATTTTTACCTAAACACAAGTGCATGCGCATGCGGACGGACGCACACACACAGAGAAAGAGACAAATAGACACACATCCATTCATCTATTCATTCATTCAGAATTAGACCGTAAAGTCTCAGATAATGCCATCTAGTGATCAACCATATTTTTTTCATTCCAGAATTGTCAGCTCTAGTAATTCCAAAGTCAGAACCAGGAGTGGGATTCTGTTGGTTCTGATCAGTTCTATAGAATCCCTTGTTAACTTTCTAAACCAGAGAACCAGTAGTTAGAAGAAATCTCCTTTTGTTTTTTTCCACCCTTACTACTTTCTTGGCAGACAGCCTAGACTTACTGTCTCCGAAGGAGGTTTTTTTTTTTTTTAAAGGGGAAGGGTTGTTTTAAGCTTTGTACACTGTTGTTGGGAGGAAATACTTCCCTGCAAATACTTGGCTAGCCCGAAATATTGATATTCAAATGTGAGTTTACATACCCTTTCTGACTTTTAGTGTAAAACTGGTGTTCGGTGAAGTTTAATTCTGTGCTTGGTGATGTTTAATCCTGTGTTTTATTGATGGGATAATTTTCCCTATTCAGCTTTGTTTGGAAGGAAAAAAGATTAATCTCTGTTCCTGAAAAGAAACTGGTTTGAGAAATCTGCTAGTTCCTGTGTCTATTTGTTCTGGTAATTGGTTTAACAAGCAACAGCTACTGTTGTGATTTAATTATTTGTATGGTATTTGAATTTTTTCCTGCCTCATGGTTTCTTTTTCTATCTGGGGGGGGGGGGTCTTCCTTCACTGCTTTAGTAGTATCTGGCACTGTCCTTTTGGGGTGTACTTCCAAGAGGCAGGATGTAAGCTGGGCACTGATTTTTTTTACTCCCTTTCTGGGGGGCATGTGACCTTTCCTTAAATCTGGATGATTTCCTTAGGATATCTTGTGAGATGAGTGAGACCAGCTGGTATCTTTAAGTGGTGCAAATGGATCTAAGGATTGCTTTTCTTGGGTGTGCTCTTTCTGGGAAGCTTAAATGACTTCTCTGCTAAAGTCTGCTTCTCTGCTTGGTCACATTATGACCAAGAGTTGGCTGCTGATAGTTATCACTGCATTTTAACTATTTTAATTCCTCAAGGTGCTCTGGCACTCTGTCTGATTTGTAACTCTGGCTTGCAAGTATTTTTAATCTAATGATTGGTATTTAAGGCAGCTTTTGCAAGCAGAGAAGCTTTTTGTATTTTTGTACAGGTAATCCTTGACTTACAACAGTTCACTTAGTGACCATTCAAAGTTACAATGGCACTGAAAAAGTGACTTATCACTATTTTCACACTTATGACCGTTGCAGCATCCCCACTGTCATGAGAGGCCAAGCAAGGAAAAGCACCCCTTGATGTGAATGATGTTGAGTTGGCCATGCCCACCCAGTCACATGACCACTAAGCCACACCCACCAACTCACAGAACCGGCTGTTAAAAAATTTGAATCCCATCCCTGGTCAGACCCCACACAGGGCTGACTGTGTTTGATGCAGAAGACTTCTGACAATTAACCTCAGCGAACTTTGCACGGATATTAATAAGCTGAACTGATTGTATCAAATCAGGAAAAAGATTGTAATTATCAAGAATTAGTGGAAAAAAAACATACTAGTATTCAATATAGGCAACATACAAATTCCATATAGACAAGAAATAAGTTAAAAACAAAATGGCCAATAATAGATTGTCTGTATGTAAAAGTATGTTGGCAGCTACTTAAACTATTATTTCAGTTATGGTTATGGCATCTAGAAAGGAAAACTGTGGAACAATGGACAAACTGAATCAAATGGCTGAAACAACACTCCTGAAAGGAAAAAAAATAAATTTTAATACAATCTTTAATATAGAAAAAAGTGAGTAAAGAGAATGCATGAATTTGTTTCAAAAAGTGCAAGGTGTAGAAGTAGTGAAGAATAAGTCATTTGGATCACATAAGTCTAGAATCCAATCCCATCCAGTAAAGCTGAATGAATACAGATTCTGAAGAAAGGTAAAGTCTTTGAGGTTGAACTCCTTAGAAAGGAATGGAAGAAATCCATAGAAGTTACCATCATCTAATAGTTATTATGCTTAAATTCTTCTGTGCATTAGTCTATAGAGATTTTCAGTAATCCAGGTCATGGCTGTCCCAAAGATACTTTTTTCAGGAGGCAATTAGACTTTCTTGCCTTTTCTTTTGAAGACATTTCGCTTCTCATCCAAGAAGCTTCTTCAGCTCTGACAAATCCTGGAAGGATTTATATTCCTTGCAGACAGCTGGTCATTTGGATCCTTTAAGAGGGTCATTGGAGAACTTGGTGGTTTATCTGTGTCCTCAGGAACACTTGAGTAGTGTTCCTGGTTCCTCTAGTCTGCATTTTTTTCCTCTGGAAATCCATTCCTATTCCCACACCATTCAAAGGGTATTCACCCCAAATTGTATAGCTAAAAATCTGTAGAGATTCTCAGTTATCCAGGTCATGGTTTTCCCAAAGATGCTTTTTACAGGAGGCAACTGGACTTCTTGTTTTTTCTTTGAGGACTTTTTTCTTTCCAGAGGGGGGGGAAATGCAGACTACAGGAACCAAGAGCACTATTCAGGTGACCCTGAGGATACAGATAAACCTCCAAGGGCTTCAAAGACCCTCTGAAAGGATGCAAATGACCAGCTGTCTGCAAGGAATAAAAATTATTCCATTCCCCACTATCCTGTCAGAGCTGAAGAAGCTTCTTGGATGAGAAGCGAAATGTCCTCAAAGAAAAAACAAGAAATTCCAGTTGCCTCCTGAAAAAAGCACCTTTGGGACATTCTGTGCATTGGCAAATTCGTTAGCAAACCCATTTCTCAATTTTTCATAATCCCTGAAATTAATATTATTTACTTTGAGGATTTCTGAAGACTTACTAATAAAATTCTTTCTGCTTCTTCTACCCCAGCCCTTAAGAGACAATTGCTCTCTTGTGTACTTTAATAAAGCCATTTCCTTCCTTTATACTAATTACTAATGCAGAAATGATGGTAAAATCTTTTATTCCCTGACCTACATGCTGCAAGCTGCCTAATGAGCATAATATTATTAAACATTTTTTCCCTGTTGTTTGGAGCATAACTTTCTGCTCTTTTGCTGTTTGGCTTTCCATTCCCTTTGGAATTGAGACTAAAAGTGAGACTAGGCCTATACTATATATCAGGGGTAGTCAACCTTTTTATACCTACCACCCACTTTTGTATCTCTGTTAGTAGTAAAGTTTTTTCAAACCGCCCATCGGTTCCACAGTAATGGTGATTTATAAAGTAGGGGACAAAACCTCTACCGTCCACCATGAAAGCTAGAATGCCCACTAGTGGGCGGTAGGGACCAGGTTGACTACCACTGCTATATATCATCTGATCTGAATGAAGTATAAAAACTGATCTATCTATATTGTTCAGGGGTGGTGACCAAAACCAAAATTCAAAGCCATTCCAGGATATTATAATCAACTACAATATTATTGCCAAGGCAGTGAAAATATGAAAAAAGTGTCTAAAACATGTGGCAGAGCATAAACTGATGCCTTGTCCATAAGAGGGAAATATCCACACAAAAACAAGAAGCAAATATATCACCACCATTTAGTTTACCATTATGCATGATTCTTTAACAAAAACCTTAGGCTTATCATACTGTCCAGACCTGACTGTATAATATGATTTATAACCTGGTTTTCCATAAAACCCATGCCAAAATTCATTATAAGCCAAGGATAGGCAATGCACAAGCAGCCCCAATCCCTGGTCTATTGTACCAAAGTGCCCTGAGAATGTGTAGCTGATTTCACCAGCTACAGTACATGGTCTATTTTTGGCAGCATAATGTTTTTAAAGATTTTCCCTACATTAATGATTCCAGTGGACTTGATTAGCCTTTGGGAGGCACAATGCATTCTTTGTGATCAGAATCTCAACATTGCTTCCTAAATGCTTGAAAATATTTGATCAGGCCTATCCTGTGACACCCCCATATCCCTGGATTATACCCTGTTGTCATTAATGCCCACGGTATTTTTTTAAAGAAAGAAAAATGTTGTCCATAATAAAAAATTGCTTGTTCCTAAGACCGAATGAAGCCTGTTCCCATTATTTATTTATTTATTTATTTATTTATTTATTTATTTATTTATGGGGGGGGGGAGTCAGGTGATATTTTTAAATGTACGTTTTGGGGAAGGCTAATAGATAGATAGAGAAGGCCACATTATACATACTGAATGTGCGGGCTAGGAGTTCTGCCCTCAACTCTCCTCTCTTCTTCTATTTGTTTTTAATGGTGTTGGGATGTTTATATTAGGAAACCTTGAGTAATTGACTAGTAAATGCATGAAGCATTTGAAAAAGAATATTCAACAATCTATTGTTAGGTGATAAAGTGTATTTTGTTTATAAATGCATGAATTGCTGTGGAACCATATAGAAGCAACAGTCTAGAATATTGTTAAGCAGGCATTTGAAGGGGAAATGTAGGCATATATTTCATGTGATAATTGTTTTGTTACTGCCGTTGTTATTTTCTATGAAATTATTGGTGTTAACAATTCTTCTTTAGAATCTGGGCAGAGTTTAATGAATAGAAACAGCAAACCATCAGATTAATCAGAGTCTGCCATTTTTATAATACAAAGTGCCCAGTTCTTGTCACATCTCCTGTTTACAGTGTTGAATAATGTAGTTGAAAACAGAGATTTATTATACCTTTGTGTTTCACTCCGTTCTCTGTAGTTGGTAGGATATGCTCACCTTGGTGCAGCCCAATATTTGTAAATCTGGCTTAATATATCGGGCTGCAACTCTTGGCATTTTTCCCCATGCTTTTCACCTTGCAAAAGTCCAAGATGGTAAATTCCTTATCATTTTTCTGCTTGTACACTTTCAGAGGCAACTGTTCTAAGCTATGATGGAAGCATGTTTATGAAAATTCAACTCCCTATGGTGATGCACACAGAAGCAGAAGATGTGTCCTTACGGTTCAGGTCTCAGAGAGCATATGGCATTCTGATGGCCACAACCTCAAGAGAATCTGCTGATACATTGCGTTTAGAGCTGGATGCAGGACGAGTTAAGCTAACAGTCAACCTAGGTAACATTCTTCCCCCCTCCCATCCTAAAATTTACATTTCAAACATCCTTTTTTATCTTTGCCTGCTAGCATCAATTCAACAGCCTGTTTGACACTGAAAATAACCTGTCTTTTATATATGAAATTTGTACGTGTGGGTGTGGGTGTGTATTTGTAATATTATTCCATTACTTATTTATTTGGGTTTTATATTTATATTTATTTTTATGCATTCCCTTTCAACCCACTACAATTAATTTTCAGCCACAGCCTGCTCTAAAAAGAGAAGACCAGCACTTCAGTGGTGTTAATGGGGTATTCCATTTTGGAAAAAAATGTACCAAAAATGATTTATCCTGACAGATATGTCCATATTGCTAGAAATCTAGTATTCCTTTGACACAAGTGCTTATATAGCACCAACCTCTATTTCTGTTCCTGAAAATCTATATTCCTGGCTTTTTGTTGCATTTGGCAATTTCTCACCATTTATACAATCAGTGAAGAAGCTAATGCTCTGTGGGAATACATGTTATTGTTAGAGTTGTGAGTAAGGATAGTCTGAGAGAGGTCTAAAATAATAATAATAATAACAACCAAATCCCTGGCTTTTCTGTGTGGCCTTCAGTCAGAAACCACACCTAAGTAGGTTACTTGTGAAAACAAGGTTTATTCTCAAAGTGTTCACAAAACCATCCCGATTATAGTTTACTGTTTGTAGCAATGTCTAATACATTGCAGTTTATGTAAAATGTATGCACAAGTATAGAAATAAGATATCTTGCAAACTTAAACCACAATTACAAGTTATATGTTTGTTTGCTATGGTCTTCTCTCTCTGTAGCAGTCTGTCATTCTATGTTATCAAAGTCATCTTTCCTCCCTGCTTTCGGTTGTTCCTTAAAAAATGCTCCCACAAACTTCATATTAGTTTTTCTGTGTGTCACAAATAAAACAACCCTTCAATGCCCAAAGTCTGCGGCCCTCAGCAAACAGCCATGTGAACACGAACCACATAAACTCTTCTGCAGAACAAAGATTATGTTTTCCGGGGGGGGGGGGTGTAAACAATTTTGTAAACAAATTCCTTTCTTCATTCATAAAGCTCATATAGGTTTTCTTGAAGAGCTTCATTTTTTGAGAATATTTTCCACTCCATTTTTTGCGGCATATTGAAAAGCTAACCTGAGGTGATTTCACTTTTAATTTGAAAAAAATCAATAGGGCAGTTGATATATTCAAATCCCATTTCTAAGAAACTGAATAGTTGAATTTTGATGGTGTAAAAGAGGAGGTCTTGCAGTGGGGAATTCTTCTAAGTTTTGCCTAGAGCCCTCTTGTGGCAATTTTAAGTTACTGCAGGCTGCTAAATAGTTTCAGTTGAGAAAATGGCAGGGGCTAACAATGAAATGGGGGTTATTTCAAAAGAGCTTTCTGTAGACAGAGACACATAGGGGATGTTCCTTGGCTGTTTGTAACCACTTTTCTGATGCGGTTGACGACACATGACAAACTCAGCTACATGGAAACAGAATCTAAGCTTTATCTTTTTCTTTAAATGTCTATAAATCCTCAAAGACCTTGAAGAGGAATAATTGATATGCTGATCATCTGAGCATAAATCATCAATCCATAGAAAACCTAGCAGAGTGTACATTCAGAAGCAATGGAACAAGAGCAACCGTTTTCTTTTTACAAGCCTTATTCAGCCTGAGACTCAAAAGTCACTATGGGAAAACAGACAAAAAGCAAATCATCAATCATAGATTTGATTCAGAATAATTACACTTTGGAAAAAAAAAACAAAGACTACATGAAGGAATCACTTTCCAGCTACATACGAATTGTAAAAATGGAGCTACACATATTTCAGAAATTGAGAAGCAATCTAAAGTAGTTTAAGTATGGCTTTTTAAATTTTGAAAAATGTATCTTCCTTTGAGGCAATACCAGTGGCCCAGAATGTGAGATTTTAGCCTTGGCGAGCACAATTCCCCATTGTGACGGAGCACTTTTTGAAATTATAATGGCAATCTATTTGTTCTTTCATATATGGGAGAAAATGTTGCAGCCAGCTTAAATCCATTGACTGGAACAATTGCCACAAACCATTTTTGTCACTTAGATTTGTCACCATGTAGCTTTGTTTGAAATTGGCCATTTTTTTTGTTACCCTATTATCACTTCTTCTACTTCTAAAGTCTTATCACCATATAACTGCATACTCTGGCAATATGGAAAGAATCAAAACATATATAGTGGCCATGTTTGCATGTGTCTGTCCCCGGAAGGGTGGAATGTGATTTTACTGGATGTCTGCAGCTAATACTTTGAAGGATAAATTTTCATTTCTCATCTATTCTTCCCCATCTAGACTGTATCAGGATTAACTGTAATTCCAGTAAGTGCCTATTCAAAATTTTTAAATTTATTATTCCTCCATTATGAAGTATTTGAAAACTTTAGATTATATAACTTGCCGCATATCATTTTTGCATAATAGAATGACTTCCGTGGGATGGGGAGGTACCTTGGGAAAAATGTCATGGATACAAGAAGAAACCATAACATAAACTCTGTCATGGTTCCTCCAACTCCCAAATAATGATTTAGAAAAATTTCAAGAATGTCGGCAGGGATTTTTTGAGTTTCAAATCAATTTTGAAAGGAAAAATATTTTATTATTAATATCATGATGTGGTAGCCATAGTGGCATAATGGTTAGATTACATTACTGTAGGCTACTTCTGCTGACTGTCAGCTTTCAGTAGATTAACAGTTCGATTCTCACCAGCTATTTGACTTCCTATTGCAACATACTTAAAAGCAAAACAACTATACAATCACTTCTAGATAAGCATTCAACAATTATTCTCTCAAATTAAGAGTTTTCTCTGATTGCTTGAATGAAATGAAAACTTCAATGAATATTTTAACAATATTAAAGGTTATATTTGTGTATTGGTTTCTTTTTGATCCTACGGTATATTGTTTTGATTATATGTCTTGCATCATTTTTACTGGGTAAACTGATAATAAGTTTTTAATCTTTCTGATATTATTTGGATTAAGATTCTATGTTCTGAAAGAGGATTGTGGACTGTGATTTTATTTTGAGTCTGTGGATCTCCCAAACAGTCTATAGTAAGTACAATAGATTTTATTTTTTCTTTTGGGGAAGGATATTAAATGTTGCAGCTTTTACATAGTCAGTGTACATTAATATACAAATAAATGACCAAGGACATGACAAACTTAAACCTAATTATATCAATTTCAGTGGAAGAATTTTAAGTGATCTTACCAATTCCACTGATGATAAAAATGAAAGATTCTCATCTAGATTATGCTTTCCATCAAACATGTAACACAATTGCATCAAACATATGGTAACACAATTCAGTAGCACTTAGTAGATTTAAGGAGAGGGAAAAGGAGTGCTTATTGAATTACTGCCAATGGTACTCTGGATTTTTGCTTTGGAACACTCAAAATCTAAATTTTCTTATTCAAAAGGAAAATCAAATATTTGCACGATTCTCCTCCAGTTGCCTTCTTGTAATGGGTAAACTGTGAATTATATTTTTTATGATACTTCCACAAGAAAACAAAAAAACAAATGATTAACTGGGATAATAGCAAGAAAAAAAATCATCCTTCCAAATACGTTTTGAGATAAGTTATTTAATGTAGTTGCTAATATAATTCTAATTGCACTGTATTAGTAACATTTTAAGGGAAAATACATTTTGAAAACATGAATAGTAATACTTAAAATAAAATTCTGGAACTAAAATTAAAATACAATTTCAAACTAGTTGTTTCTTTGTTTTTTTTAATCTCAGAACTGTATATGCATGTGAAGATCAGGCTAATATCTTCCTTAATGGCTTTTAAAAGCTTATTAAAAACTGAGCTTTTCTGGATACCATTCTAATACTTCACACTTACACCATCATTAACTTTTTTATTTTTATTGTTATGGTTATGTGGTTCTTAATTTTAAAAATGTACTCTAATTATCTTTTTTGTTTTCTTTGTAATTAAATTTTACCGTGGATTTTTAAAAATCATTTCGTATGTTGTACATCACTTGCGAAAATCATAAGAGTGCAGTGGGATAAAAATTTAATAAATAAATAATTTAAGAAAGAACATAATGTTACTCTTAAGAATAAAAGAAAGTATAGTTTGCCATGGACATAGTAAACAACTTTGGTAGTTCATGGCTAATCTGTTGGAATGCATTATTATATTCCTGTGAGCTGTTCTATTCTTCCTTCCCATGGAAGGGAGAAATTGTTCAGAAGATATCTATGAAAAACAAAAGGGTGTAAGTTTTTCTTTTTTGTTATTATTGTTGTTTAAGATCTGAAGTCTATATATCTGAGATTGTAATATAGGTAGTCCTTGATTTACAACCATTTGTTCAGCAACATGGAGCCTCCCCCTTCCCAAGGCACTCCATATTGCACATAACATCCACACCAGAGAGAGTCACAAATGCATGAGCCCCTTGCGTAATGATCACAACAACCTATGACTGTAATTTTAAGTAGAATTGTGGATATAAATTCAGGAAACCCCCCCCCCCATGCAATGTTTTCTAATGTGTATCACCTAGGTTACCATTAACGTATACATTTCAGGCATAGTAATGGTCTGATTGGTGCACAATTAGAATTCAAAGCCTTCATACAGATGGACCATTTCACATGAATGATATGTTAAGGGAAAGGGTGTGAAATACTTCCATGGTCAGGTGTGTAATCCATGGTCAAACTGGGCATCACATCTGTTTTGCTGAAGATAGGACAGCTGAGGCACAAAGAAAATGTAAGAATGTTCCAGTTAATACATCATCTGAGGAAAATTTTGAAAGAAGGTAATCTGAATCCTGTAACTGAACATTAACAAATAATACTGTTGATTGCATATTATAGTCCAATATCTCTTTTGCGATTTTATGATTTCTAACATTTTATAAACTTAATCTGAAATAAAAATTTACAAGTATTCAAAATGCACGTCCAACTTTCCAGAATAACTAATTTCAATTACAAAATTCCATATCTTAAACTTAAAACAAAACCTTTCAGTTTCTGATGTGATATCTTCATTCAATACTTTATGGTATATTTCAAATGTTTGCATTTTAGCAAGCATTGAAAATGATCAACTGTAAAATACCATATTCAACCTTTTGTATAACTATTTGCTGTCAAATGTAAATTTATATTAAATATATTTGTATTTGTTTGGGTGTGGGTGTAATACACATAGAACTGTAAAATATATAATGGTTATTTGATAATATTTTTATGGTTTAGGTGTACCTGCAGAATATTTAATAACAACAGTCAAAGTAACAGTTGGGGGAATTAATTTCCTTTTATGAAAGGGGAGTTTTAATTCTATTATTTGACTTTTTATTTATATATTATGGTATTATAATATACCATATATTATAATATATTATTACTTAGTCATAGCCTATATTTCAATTGAATTTGATCACTAACCATTTAACAATAATATGTGAAGTAGAAAAAGTCATTATTCAAAAATGCAAGTTAAAAACAATAGAAAACCAGTTGAAAATTAAAAACCTGGTACAAATATCTAAGTTGTTCTTATAGAGACAGGGAAGCACAGCTTCTGAAGACTATGTATCAGACCTGCCACAAATTTAAACCTCTAAATAGAAAAAAAATCCTTGGTTCCATTTTCTGAGAAAGGTATATTTTTTATTAGAGGTTAAAAGTGCTGCAGTAGTGCATAGCCAGAACTGAGATTCACACACCAAAATCTCTACATTACACCTTCCCCTCCTTAATTATCTCTCATTTCCCACCCCAAGATAACCAATTAAAATCTTGCAAGCTGTTTCCCTAATGGTCAGCATGCTCTGGTAGGCTGCTCCCTCCTTCTTTCAGCTGGGTGACCTTGAAGCAGCTTCTCAAGAAGGCACAACATCTACTTTCTATTTCCCAAGCATCCACCCTTCATCTCTCTTCTCCATAGTTGATGGCAGACTGTCACAGAATATCAGCAATGAGCAAGCAAGCATGCAGGGATAGCTGACACTATGATCTAAAATATGAGACAGGTTGCCTGTGATAATAAAAGGATATTCAGAAAATTATCTCCTGTGATCTTAATGCCTGAACTGATTTGTCCTAAGAGAGGTGATCCCTCAGATATCCAGAACCAAGTTATTCAGACTAATGCCAGGATCTTAATAAGAGTTGGTTGGTAATAACAGTTGGTAACTATCACATTTCTTTCAGTAATAATATCATAGGATCCTTGTACCCATAGGATCCTTGTACCTTACACTGGTAGGTAATCTAACTATCACACTATGGCCACTGCAAAGAAGGCCCAACAGTGCCAGCACTTTCTGAGGTTGCTGAAAAAGAGTGGTCTGGTGAGAAGTTGCTGGTTACTTTTTACCATTCTACCATCAAGAGCATTTTGGCATACTGTGTAACAGTGTGGTATGTTGGATGCTCTACAGTGGATAAGAAGATGTTCCAGAGAGTTATAAACACAGCACAAAAAATCATCAGTTGCTCTCTTTCTTCTTTGGAAGAGACTGTGAAGACCAGACTCCACTCTAGAACAGTGGTCACCAACCAGTGGGCCAGGAACCACTGGTGGTCCAAGAGAAAATTTTGGTGGTCCACAGACATATATCACCCCCAAAGCAATTAATCCAGGCTGCGTGGGAACACAAGGCTGCACTGCCCACATGGCTCACAGGAACACAAGGCTTGTGTTGGAACAACATGAGCTGGGGAGGGGTGAAGGGTGGTGGTGGGAAACACTGCCCCATGTGCCCCATGCACCTGGCCTGGCCACCAGGCTGCTTCTTTCCGCTTCTTTCTTCTGGTTTTGACTGCACACAAGGAAAGCAGCAAAAGTCTTTTTTTCTCTCTCCCAAACTCCACCAGAAATGAGTCTTTGGGACCCTGCAAGGCATCCTGCTCCAAGAGGCTGCGCCAGCAAAGACTCATTTCTGGTAGAGTTTGGGGGAGAGAAAGAAAGACTTCTGCTGCTTCTGCTGCTTTCCTTGCATGAAACCAAAAAGTCTCTTTCTCCTCCTGAGAACGGAACTGGGGACTGTATCCTGTGATCCCAAATAATGACCGATCGGTAGGGAAATGGGGTGCAGAATTTTCCTGCAGACTTTTTGGGGGATTTTCCCAGGATCTCTGGTCTGTGGGATTTAAAATTATGAGTTCGGTGGTCCCTGAGGTCCAAAAGGTTGGTGACCCTGCTCTAGAACACTAAAATATCCATGGACTGGTCTCATCCTGGAAACTCATATTTTGAACTGTTACCATCACAGAGACATTATAGGTGTCTTAAATGAGGACTAATAGATTGAGAAACAGT